TCTGATTTTTAAACTAACGGAGTTGAACATGATTTGCCAAGTGTCAAATTACTATGTTACGCCAGTGGCCGTCCTACGATGGGAGGGATGGGTGGATCCCCCACTTGGTTAAATATAAAATTATTACATTAAATTTTTTTATGACTTCTATTTTTGAGTACTTATTGTATTTAACRTGAATAATATTTCACCCCCCACCCCCCTGGAATTGGTCAAGGACCGCCACTGTGTTATACACTATTGTAAGACGGAGACAACAAATATGTGTAGARCGTCCTCTTAATTTTAAACTATTGCCTATTTATGCGATTTACCACAAATCTATTTTGTATTCCACCGTTCTACTGACTACGGAAAGACACTAAKATGGTATTAAGTATTTATTCAAAAGTTAAARACAAAAACACATTTAAAAAACATTTACTATTACCATAATTAACATTTTTTTTTTTATTAGCTTTTTATTATAAAAATAATTAACATTATTATTCATAATATTGCATTAGTAATATTGAAAATGCCATGTTTTTGGAATTTCAAAAAATCTAATTAAATCAATCTACCGTATTAGGTACTTAAATTAAAATAAATTACTATTTAATAGCAATATCAAAAATCATATGAAAATATGAAATATACTGGCTGAAACACTGTGGCCACTCAAAATTGTGTTTTGGGTTTATCATTTAAATCAAATTGAATGTATACATTACAGTGACTCACTCAATGACAAAGTAGGTAAACTCAATACCTACTGTACAGAAGAATGGTTATCTATTTTTATTTTTTTTATTTGTTGACATATGACATTAACTGATTCATAATATTGACAAAATTCAGAAGAATATTGTAAGTTTATTCCATCAGCAAAAATAATATTGTCCTTAAATTACACAAATTCATGGTTCATATACCCTAGAATCAAAAATCATATTATGAATATAAGAAGTGCATGGAACAAAATAAGGTAGAAGCTCTAAATATATATTTTTTTTTAATGTGTGTTAAAGACTGTACTTCTTAGTTTTGTCCTACAGGACACATTTAATGTACTTTACACCTCAACAATTATTTTTTTTATAACATAATAATAATTAAATTGCTAGTTTATTACAAATAAATTTGTTCATTATTACTTATTTCTCTAAGAAATTACATAATTTTTAAGTTTATTATCCTATATTTTTTCAAACAAGAAGCCCAAATTTAAATAAAACTATAAAATATTGGGCCTTGCTTATTTCCTCTAAGGACATCTTTGACTATAGTACACATATAAAACAAAATTTTTTTACCATTAATAGTGATCACTGAATTTAAAAATAAAATAAATAAATTGAGCATATCAATAACTTTCAATAGTAATTACTAGAATCCATTTTTTAACAAATTTAAACAATTTTTTTAACATTAAGTTTAAACAATGTTTGAATACAATATACAATATATTATATTATTTTTATAATCAAATTAATACATAAATAATTATTTTAAATTTAAGGAATTAAAAATATAATACTGTGGACTTTTAATTCGTTTTTCCAATTAAACATCACCAGTCTTATTTACTTTATTACAACATTTAGAATTTAAACGTTTATAAAAAATATGAAAACTGTAAGCCACTTCAGACAATATTGTCTRCACATTTTATAYGCGGTAAGAAGTTTTTGCATCTGTAAAAAATAAACAGGTATATATTAGAACTGTTGAAAATTTTTAAATATCTAAACATTTGTTTTCTTAAATTATATAGAGAACTACCAAATTTAAAAATTTAGAGAAAAATCAMACTTTATAAAGTAAAAATTTTATASATAAATATTTGTTTATTATAATAACTTTTATTTTCACAATAGGTACAAATCAATTTAGAAAGTTTGTACCTATCTTTACAAAAATGAGAAAAATGTCAACACATAATCTACCTATTACTTCTTTATTTCTTTGAGATGATTAATCTCAATGGTAAGGACATATTTATTAGTCTAGCAGACAAGGAGGGTCATTATTATTTTGACGCAGTAGAAACACCAATSAGATTGAGTTTGGATGAAATGGTCCCTGCATGTACATTGTACATACAAGAACCACAAACTATTTTTGTATCATAATAATAGTCACTGTTTGATGTAATGTCAGCTAGAGTGAAAATATAAATAAATGCTTATTTAAATAGGTAATATTAAAAATAGGGACAAATCACTTTGACAAAATTGCGAAAAGAACAATTAGAATAAAAATATATTCTTATGGAAATGATGTTTATTTTTTCAAACATCAGTACAAGAAACTTGTATTTCTGTTAATGTACCTTCACTTCAACCCWAGATAGTCAAAGAATATTGGCTATGGAACTGATAATTCGTGATGAATGATCATTAATATTTAATGCAACATCTATATATTATAATGTGATCGATATTGTTGATACTGATGAGGAAAAATTCAATTTGTGTTAGAATACAAATATTTTTATATATTATCTAGGTACTCATATTTAGATGTTTAGGRCAATCTTAATTTATAATTTGTTTAGATTTTATAGCAGTTCATACATTTTCACGTAATGTCTATTTTATTCCAAGATCAGATAATTCTATTTATTTATTTTTGTTAATTATATCAAATATCAATAAATAATAAGATATAATAGAACATACCAATTATTTATTCATATTTTTAATATCTAATAAAATATTCTATATTTTGTTTCTCCTAATAGGTTTTGATAATGTTTATTATTAATCCTAAAATGGAGTTTTCTAGAATGATAAGAATATAAAAAATGTTGTTCAATGTTATACAAAGTAATTGTGCGTTCCTAAAACTCTATTTTGTTTATGCAACTTACTATCATGCTTTTACAAGAAATATATTAGAACATTTTATTTAATTAACATAAATAATATAAATAGATCAATTTGCATGCCACTTAAAAAAAAAAAAATGTGAATGCAAGAATATATTTTAGGTAAAATATATACCTGTTAAATTTTGAGTCTAGATTGTGATACCATAAATTATTATAATGAACCCTATAAATGACATTTTGATAGGAAATTGTTATTAAATGATAATAATTCTGAAAGACACAATAATTTAACGATGAACAAGAGTCATTGAGGATAAGAATAGATTTATATCAAAGTATTATATGACATGATGCAATAAGATTTACTGTGAGAAAAAATATGTACCTAGTTGATTGTATTAAGTTCTTAAGATTGGTCATATTGATCCAAGTTAGTATTGCCTATCTGTCAGCCCTTCGATCGTCCATTTGTCAACCCAGATGTATGCCCAACGAGACCATCGCGTATAAGCCGCAACAGAGACAGAATGCGGCCAATGGAGTCCAACAGTCTTTCATGCAGTTCATTGCACTCTCTGATGGTGGGCAGTATGCTGTGCACAGTCCGGGCAAACTCGGTCACTCTATTGAACACACTCTCTAGCAGTTGAAGCCGGTTCAGATCATTTGACATGACGACTGACGAGTAGTCTGAGTAAACAGACGATGGTGGCCAGAGTTGTAACTGGTAGTTGTTACCTTTAGATGTTGGTGGCGCATGGACAATGAAGAAAGGTGGTTTGTGCTCGAATGAAGTTTATTATTAAATRYCACTAAGTACAAGGTTTTGATCGAACCACAATCACACTCTTCTCAATTCGTATCCTACATTCCAAGAAACAAATTGAGTCAAAACCATGTTTATTCATAAAAAAAAAAGTATTATTTTATTTATTTACAAACCAGTGAAATAGTGAATACTGAATAACGATGTTAAACTAAACGATARCTAATAATGTCGAATTACATACATTAGTCTATTTGTATGAGTAGTATGGAAGTGTAGAATATAATTTYTGATTTTCTGGGCGTCGAAGAAAATTTTTTCATTAGACCACCTGGTTTATACAGTCTTGCAAGTAATAAACATTGAGGAATACTTTATAACGGTTATAATATTACCCAATAGGTAGGCATATTGTAAATTGTTATTCTAAAATTATGAAAAAAAAATGATTCATCATAAAAATACGAAAAATATAAATCACCAATAATTATAAATATTATASAAATATTGATAAAAATAAAAATGTAAAACGCGTGTTCGCTAAAAGATAACGAAATCAAACGGGTTACTGATTGTTTACCTTTACCGTGATTAAAGATAAATGATAAAAATATATTGGTTGCCGAACGAGCAACTATTTAGGTACCCAAAGCGTCCGGTGTAGAACATTTTCAATAATAGTCATAATCACGGATTAAGTTAATATACAAAATATTTTATATACCTATTTGGCTATTTATTATGTCAAATATAATATAGGTGCCTACTAGGTAGGTACCTTGTGATTGTAATTATTAATTATGATTAATATAAAAAATAACTGTTTATTGGGTAACAATAAGTTATAAGTTAGTACTTAAATCTAATTTAATGTGAAATTAATAGAATACCTACCTTATTATTTTTCTGTTGGGTAATGGGTATATTTTGTAAATTCATTCTAAACGGTCAACATTAATAATTTAATGTATTAAGTGATATAACATTACCTAAATGTCGCAAAATGTGTTTTTATAATCCTTGAAAGTTAAGACATTGAATTTTTACTTTTTATTTTTTTACTTTTATAAGATTATACACAATCTATATTAAATTTAGCACAATAAGAGTATGTGATGATAGAACAGAAAAATAAATATTGAGTTTTGGGATGAAAACCACCCATTTTTTTTAATTTCCCAATAAGTAACGACACCAGTTCCTTAATAGGCAACTGCTGGGGTATACTATAATGTAAGCCTTTTATAAAAATATCCAAAATAAATTGTAAGTTGTGCTTTAAAAGCACTATTGAACTTATATAAAAACTGAAAATTGGATCATGTATTGAAACTATTATCTAATAATAAACAAGTACAGAAAACACATTTTGTAGGTACCTACCTATTATAATATCTATCGAAAATGGACCGAGGAAATTTTAAATTTAAAATATTCTTGAATAGTTTAAAGTCAAAAATATAAAATGTACCTAATAACCTAACCAACTATTGTAATACGGGCTCTTACTGATAGACCCGATACGGTAAATTTGATGTATTCAATGTATTCACTGACTAACTAGTAACTGTATACCTTTATGTTAACTTTAAAAAATAGAAGTCGTATTTATTTATAAAAAGGTTTTTATTTAATAATTTATAAAAAATATATGATTGTGCTTCAAATATTTAATCACCTTCTTAATTAATAATCAAATAAATAAATAATAAATGTATAACACATAATTAAAACAATTAAAATAATACATTACAATAATATACTATTATATTTTTAAATTAATTATCGATTATTATTGTTATTGTTAGATCAAATTTTATTATTTCAGTGAACAGTAAACACGGTTAGGTTACCTTTTTGATATGAAAAATTGTGTTATAATTTTATTAT